CAGTTCGAATTGGTTCATTTACGCTGTCATCAGTCATTTCATAGAAATCCTAATTGCAAGTGCCTGGGTTTGAGTAAAAGCATAAAGGGATTTCCGACAAAGAATAAGCAGAATACTTGAAATATAAGTTTTTCTCTAATTTGTCATTTCCATACCATGCTGTGAAATACAGCAAACAATTTGCCAGTGGACCACACTTGTGGTAAAAAGATGTCCGTCAGATTAACGTTAACTGGGTTGGCAAAGTACTGGGAACTCAGCGGTAACTAAACATGCAACCCCAACCCGCAGTAAATATTCTCTGGACCAAAATATATCCAGGCAAGAAAACAGTTCAGGACCACGTTTGATCAGCCTGTGATGGACATTTACGGTTGACAGACCAAAACAGAGTCTCTCGGTACCAAAAACTCCTAAGTTCGAGATGATGACAAGATATGAGACCTTCAGTCACACGTGGTACACAATGTAAATATATCTATGATTTGCAGTAGCACTTTGATCTCATTATACCTCAGTGCATTCAGGATAAGGTTTCTGTGTCCTGCGTGTCATGTCAGCTCTATGTGCGTAATACAGGAAATGATATTATAGGCATCTAAATTGAAAAGAAATCTGCCACAGTAGCTTTCCACCGCCGCGTGAAAGATAAATCACAGCGATTTTTAACGGCATGACAGACCAAAAGAAAGCTCGTGTTACAGATGCATTTCTTCGTATATTTCTAACCACTTTCTTTGCATTCCAACATCCCTTGGCTCTTACGAAAACCTTTTTTAACACAATTTAAATATCACACAATTGTAATATGACCGGCGCGCTGAAAACCGCCAGTCAGCGAGGACACAGCATGCCATGAACCAAACAATATACCACTTACATGTAGTTGCCATTATGGCCTATCGAAGATGCGTTAATACTTATCTTTTAAGTGATGCTAAGGCCTTGATTTGCCTACTGTCATGATACGGTTGATTTCGTTAATCGAATAATCGATCGCCATGCTATAAAACATTTTCTCATCCTTTTTCTGTCTCATTCGAGACCCTTGAGATTACCAGGCCAGTCACAGTGCTCTTCATGCACCAATGTTTCTGTTTGAGGGTTCCAATTTTGACATTTTCTCTTTTTTCTCTTACCTGCTAACGTTTCTTTGTTTGTCTTTTTGTTTATTCATTTATTTTTTTATATCCAAAGAACTGTTAAATTGGCCATTGTGTTTTTATTTTCACTGAGAAGTGTAACGTATTAGTTATTTATATCTGTTTCATCCTACTGTATGTCATCAAATCATGATCATCATTTTTTTTTTCTTTCGTTTTAGCTTTTTTTTAGATTCTGTTATGTGTCTTGACATAGAGTATAGCATAATACTAGAACAGGTAGAACGAGAGTTCTGGAATATAACCCTTTGAAATCACGAACACAGCGAGCAGTGCGTGTTATACGCAGCTTTTATGAACTAAATTTAGGATAAATACCTGCATTTTGGTGTTTGGAATGAAAGCAGAAGGAATTTTTGTTCAATGGATCATGTGGGGTTATAGACAACACTTGCTCTTTTTTCTTTTCGATAGGCACCATAGGTTTTTTATTCTTTGTCGCACTGCGCTCGCTAATCTGCCATTGTTTCTAACCCCAATGTTCTCTACATCTCGTGAAATCTCCCTCAATTCTATGTTAATTCGCGAGACTGCTGGTTATCTCACATGGTTTTCAATAACCAGCGATCGCAGCATGACCACGCAAGCTTATTTTCTTTTGTCACAAACAGATAATTTTTTGAAATAATCAAAAATGAACTCTTTCTCAGTCTACACAAAATTTGGCATCATAACCTAACTGATGGACTTATTCAACAGTCATACTTAAGTATAATAGTTCTCGTTTGAGAAATATTTGTAAGTTTCAGTTTAAACAAACTTGATTTCCAAGCCATGAAGTATAAAGAACTAGATAAGAAAGATGTTACGGCATTGTTTAAGATAACCTCAATGGTTATTTTCCGTTTTATCAATTTTAAGCAGGTCCATCATGTGTTTATTTTGCTGCTCTATCCCAATTCTTTGAGTATGGGGAAAGTTAAAACATAAATTACATATTAAAAATAACTTTCGGGCCTTATTGGCAAATCTTATCACGCAAAACAAAAAAAAAATGCAATTACGAAGCCATGGGAAATACATTAATTATGATATTAATGTGTAGACTATACGATTTTAGCTTGTCATTTAATACAAATATCTAAGTGGACGGTAATCATTTATGGTCTATTTCTGAAAAAATGTGACAATTACTATCCCAAGGGTCACATGCGAGTATTAAAATCTCCTTGCTTTCTCAGAAATCTAATAATCTTCATAAGTGGCCACCTACTGCTGAAGTGCAAGCAAAGAAGATCAGTAGGAAGAGATCTCCTAAGATTTAAACCCAAACTTAATTCTTGTTTCAAACAGGTTTCTTGATTAATAAACAATAAACACACCATGTTGCTATATTATTTTGTCGTAACGTGGTGTGTTTATTATCCTGCAGCAGGTTTAAATACTTTGTAGGATCTTTTAAATGGCAACATAATGCCGAATTAAATCTTTCCAGTAGTTATTACGGATTATATGCATTGACTTAACGCTGCAGGCTATGTCAAAACATGTTTGTGTTTATACCATAAAGGAATGGTCCTGTTTCACATTGAAATATATATATATATATATATATATATATATATATATATATATATATATATATATATATATATATATATATATAATCACGCTTCAGCTTTTACAGTGTCATTCAAAGCATCTTGCTATAGAAAAACATTGATCCCCCCCTCTGTTTTAAAAGATTTCTACAATTGTCATATCTTTTTTAAAAAAGTAGGCCTACTGGTAACGATAGACGATAGGCATAAATGGTGCTTCAAGGTCGATTTTGACCAAGGATGTCAGAGACCCTACTTGGTGAAGTTTCGGTTGCTCGTACGGAGGGACCAAGCCGATAAGGGTTTTCTATTTTTACTTTGAGCACGGTTTGTAAACTCCAGTGTAGGTCTTGCGTTTCAGTGATATAAGTACAACAACCTTGGTACCACATTGGGCACATTGTCCGTTCTGTGATAACAAAAACAAAGCGAAACAATGGTTAGCAGTAGTTAATGTAATGATAAAATGATAATTCTTGTAATGTAATATTTATTTGTAGCTTCTCTTTGTCCAGTTAACAGTCCGATTTAAACATAGCACCCAAACACTACTTTTTTAACATTTGAAGGTTCATAAACTTGCACATGTTGCATAATTCCGCATGGGTTTGCAACAAACATTCTCAATATATCATATATTTTAACATCGTGGCATGAATGTCAACTTCACTTGGATGTGTATCTCCCGTGTGGAATTACGTAAGGTCAATAGGTCATATTGGTACTGAAGTCAAAAATCTAATCAGTTCAGCTCTTCTGTAAACTGATTCCTTTTAGCTGCACTACAGGGATTGCTTCCAATTGTTTTGACAGCCACTGTTTTATAGCCTGCGTTTCTCTGGGAATTCTTAATGAGAAACCTGTAAAAAACTCATATGCAGGTCATTATTAAGTTGAAGATAATGTTTATCGCATTTGGTTTTTTTGTCCTCCGAAATAAGCTGTTAGTAAGATAAATTTAAACAATTTATATTGAACTATAATGCACCCTCACCCAAACTTCCAGGTTTGTTTAGATGTTAATGTAAGTACAAAACTATTCTGTGGACCATGCTACGTGGCATCGACATCGATATTGGAAACTAAACAGTCGCCTACGCAAACAAACAAATATATTCAGACGCCTTCAAATCTATTTGGTAAATAACTGGTAGGCCTAATAAATCTTAATGAATCTACAGACCGTTCCCACCTCATTTAAAGCCTGCGACAAAATTCCATGTAATAGAGACATTGTTTAACATAGACAAAACTAAAAATAGATATATATTTCAAACCCTTGATTATACACTTGTGAAGTAATTGTATGTGTCACACAGGCACTCTAGTTTGTAACCCGGGTGTGTTGTACTTTATTGTATGTTTTACGTTATTAACAATACTGTAAACAATAACAACTTTGGGAAGAAGTTACTAACATTCTACAAAGGCATTATTGCTTGATATAATAAACTGCATTATATCATGGTGAATGTGTCAACAAGTTTTTTATACTAAGATAATAAGAAAATTGAAACGTTTCAACGTAAGATCCAGTATTCGATTTAATTTTCTCATAATCTTTGCATCGACATTATATTTACAAACATTTACAATAAAATCGAGTGAAGTTGACCAAAAAATGAAGTTGTGAATGATTATACGTGAATAAGTGAAACTTTATAAGCTATGTAAAGCAAACTAATCAACATGTAAAATTAATCTTGGATATTTGATTATTCAAAAAATAAACTGAAAGTGCACATCAAAAGTACAAGTTCAAACCAAGAAAGAAAAATAATAAAAAGTCGGTTATTTCAAGGATAAAGGCTAATGTCTATTTCCTTTGACGCCTACAGAACAGTCTCCTGTGAAATGGTAGGGTTCCTTGTTCGTTGCCAATCGAGAGCAATTCGGGAAATTGGTTTGTGCTCTTTACCGCATGAAATCCCATAAGACATATTAGTAAACTCCACTTCGAACTCTTTGACACATACAGTGAACTACGTTTCCCAGCTTCCTTGTTAACATACTTTCGCCTTACGTGACAATAAGCAGTCAGTGCCCATTTGATTGGTTTATATAATTGGTTTTGCTTTCGATTTCTTTTATAACTGGGTAGACTATCGGTTAGCTTTAGGACGATTAATCGATTCTTTGTCAGTGGCATTTTTTCTTGTTCCAGTCTAAAATACCCAAAGCTTTCGATACTTTATCATTTGCAAATACCAGTCATTTGATAAACTTTTCGACTCTCCGACAAAACCACTTTAGTAGGCCTACAAAGCTAGGGGTTGGATGTGATCATGTGACGCCGTTATATCCAATCATTAGGCCTATGCTTCGAACCTTTGCAATGTCCATTGCCTCTCAGAATGCTGACGAAAGCTTTAGGATTTATCTCAGGCGAAACTTTTTCGTTTGAACAGTGCCCTGTAACCGTGTTCTCCTTCTCTGGTGAAGGAGTTATCCTTGGCGTTGTCGAGTGTTTCCCATTGATTACTGTCCTGGGGGCAGCTTTAACGGAACACGTTGCACGGCTATGAATGTGAACGGAACTTAGTCGCGTTGTGCTAGACAATGATCTTTGACTGGACCGGAAGCTCGCAGGCCTCGCCGTAAACGTTCGCTTGGGTCGGTTGTAGTGACTGTAAGAGGAGTTTCCGAAAAGACGGTCCTTACATCTCAGGCACAAATAAAGCAGGTTGGCCTGAAAGAAATTATTGGAATATGTATTTGGTATCTCTTAACACGCTGTCACTAATATATAGTGAGGCGTTAATACTATGCGTGAAGAAAAAAGTTCCTTGTATCTAGAATAATTTGTAGAGAAAATAAAATTTGGGATAGAATTCTTTTCTTTTTTCTTTTTAATTAAAACTGAACAAATGAATGGGTTAGCATTAGTGATAATGGTGAAAACTAAGGTATGGACGCGTTTGGCACCTAATAATTGATGGTTCAAGTCATTCATTCATTTTCAGATAATACATTCAATGCCGTGACATGGTGGTTATTTTGGTCAACCGGAATTCTTGAGTTACTATATGATGACAAAGAAGGCAATTAAATATAAATCATAAGAAAACGCATTAAAAATTCATGGCCTTGTTTAAATTTGTTTTAAACATGCTTTTTTGTTTTGTACTAGGACCAATTTCACTGTACATAAAGAGGTAAAAGAAGGAATGTCCATCTGTTCACTCGATTTTTAAAAGGAATACACTTACCCGGAATGTATCATTTAGAAAACCATAAATGAAAGGATTAGCGAAACTGTTCGCCATGGCCAACCAATGACAGGCAAAGAACACGCCATAGTATATCTGTCCGTGTGATGCTGTAAAGCTTTCGAAGATATCCGGTTTTATATCTGACACCAAGTAGAATAAATGTAGTGGTAGCCAACACACGGCAAACACTGCGACCACTGTGACCAACATTTTAATAACCTGGAACAAGTTTTAATATTAAATTCAGATCAAACATACCGATTTCATTAAGTGTAACGAACGCTGAATTAGATAATTCATGCTATGCTTGAATCTGTTTTCTACAAAACTGTCTTTGGTAATAACATACACCACGTTAGCTTGCAATAAAAGGCAGCATAACGGAAATGAATGCTTCAAAATGGTAAGGGTAGGTTACTCCCGATGCTTGACTTACAATGCACAGCCGAATATCCTTATTCAGATATCAAATGGAAATTGTTGCCAGAAATAACTTCTACCTTTCTCTTTGATCTCATTTGCATCTTGTCCCTGAATTCATCGGCGTTCCCGGGGGTGGTTCTCTCCCACAGGGTCCTCCCCACGCGGTAGTAACTGCAGGCCAGGACCACCAGGGGCACCACATAAGTAGTGGTGAATATGAACACCGTGTACGCTGGAAAGTTTGGTATTTGACAAATTACGGACAGAAATCACATAAAAGTACAAGATTATTATTGGTCTTACAAGATTGGCATTACATTTGCACCGTTTGAAGAACGGTATCAAGTTTACCATTTAGAACAACAGAAAAGTACCCAAGTCTACTAGTCAGTGTATCGGCAGACAATTGCGGCGTTGAGTGCCTGTGTAATTTCTCTAGTTATCAGATCTGTGACACACGATCAAGAGATGCAGAAAGAATCACGCAACATATAGTTCAATGAATAGAAAATATTACTTCTTATATTACACATTATCTATTAAAATGCATTGAACAGAATGAAGTAATTTTTTTTCAGTCAACAGCCAATATTAACGCCCTTTTGTTTACTGCTGCCAATTAGCTGTCAATATTAGCTGCTGATTAAACAATAATTGCTTTATTCTTATAACAAAACACAGCTGATGAAATTCTTTTCCGACATTGAACAGAACAAATCATCTCTATCGTCTTGACTGTAAATAGGCCTATCATTTAAAGGGAAGGAATGATACTACCTCTACATTAAATAAACCTGACTTAAGAAATCGCCAAAAACTTCCATGGTCTGTAGAATAAAGTATTCTTGTTACTTTATTTCGATATATATATGTTCGGTCAATATACTGTATATTTTAAAATGCAGACCGTAATCTTTAATACAACAATCTGCCAAATTGATATAAATACTGTAGACTTATTCGTAGACTCAAAATAGTAAACACCACCTAGTAAGTCCTAACTAAACTTGTTTAAGTTTGTTTAAACACACCCTTTTGTTTTCTTCTACCTTCTCCTGATGTTGATCATAAGGTTTTGTTTCTAAGACTTTTGTAAGCCTTGTGATGGCTCTATTAGGTTGGTTTGCAAAATGTTATTATTTCCTCGAGAACGCTACGCAGAAAGACAACATGATAAGTCTGATTTATGAATCATGACTAAACGCACATGACAGCGTGGTTCACTGTTAATTGGAATGCCTCCATTTGGTGTCTTAAATGTCGCACAAATGTCAATAACAGGTCGTTTGTCTGCGTCTCAGTTCGATGTTGGAATTTAAAAAACAATTTTGAAAACTATGATGGATTTTGTCCGAAGAAGACATGGTTGATTTAATGGAAGACGTGGTTGATTTAATATTGATCAGAAACGAAAACATCGGCTTCTTCATTGGTACGTCTGCTTTTTGTGACAAATTTATATTTAGTTCTTCAATCAACGCTGAAAAAACAGCACACCTAACCTAGGGTCTTGATGTGCATTTTTTTTAATCGTTCGTCTGTGTGTTAATTGACTCTCTCTCTCTCTCTCACACACACACACACACACACACACACACACACACACAGTTTTTTATAACTCGCATCGTTCAGTACAGATATTTTTCATAGAATCTTACCTAATCTGAAATCAGCTTGGGGTTCTGGAAAAGTTTCCCGACACACTTCTCTTCTGCCGTTTGTGTAGGTCCTGAAAAGGGCTATTTGCATTGAAGATAGGCCAGCCGCGAGAACCCATATAATGGCGACAATGATTTTTGCTTTGGTCTTGGTCAAGCGCTGTCTGAGAGGGTACATAACTGCCCAATACCTGAAACATCGCCAAGTTTTATCAACATAAATCCTACGACAGAAGGCAGTCTTCTAAGGTTCCTGATAGAATTTGATCGTATTGTACCCAATATGTTGGCCGGATTTATGTATAAACAGACTAAGTGCGTAATAAGAGAGCTGTAGCTTAAGTTTCACCAAGCTGCTACAGTTAAAAAGATGTACATATAAATAAATGAAAAATTATTTAATGGGAATTGAGATTTGACAGACAAAAAAGAACACAAAAGGCAGAAAAATATAACCATATATAGGAAGTAAAGAGCAGTGGATTTTATATATATATATATATATATTGTATAATAGGAATACCATTAGGAAAATAAAAGGATTATATAACATGATAATTTGTATGTGGCTGTATGCAATTTCCCATGTATATGTAAGATCCAAGGTCCCTTTGGCGACGTTTTTTCTTTCTTTTTACTTGAAAAAGTATACAATATATTGATTCCACTTTTTCAGTTGAACTAAAGATCAGGTCACGACACAAGGCCTACGCTCAACACATCGCGATATATTATTTCACAGCAAGAAACACTAAACAAAAGCAACAATTGCTCCACACATTGCTTTGTATGTATGCTCAAAATGATACTATGAAATGCGTGTACTCTATGTTTGGTGGTATATACAGTATAAGTTCACCTTTGCGTTTGACCAAGTACGAGCTTTTTTTGTCTCCTGATCTGAAGTAAAGATTGTGACTATTGATGTCCAGAAAGCATAATGGAAAATGAGTGTTATGTCCCATATGGTAATTAAGCTCTCTAGGAGGAATAGATTTTTATGGTTCAAAACGCTTTGCTTTGTAGGTTAGCTCTTAGAACGCTCAAGTTTGGCCTTTTTTTATTTTTATTTTTCCTTTAGCATTTCTTATTGCCTACTGAAAACTGCTCCCCTGTCATTTTATCTCTGCGTGTATGTATGAAACTATTCAGCCTTCTTCCTTTTCCAGATTAACTTTCATCGTGCAGAATGCAGGGTTGCATTTCAATAAAGTTCAGGCCACCTGCCTTTGATCATAGTTCGTGTGTTAGTTCAATGACACTGCGTTAATCATGTACATTGCGCATATCTGAGGGATGGACTGAAAAGAGGCCAGGACTTAATTAAGTTCATCAAATCTTGAATGATGCCTATGTAAAGTCATCGACGAAACCTTACATTAAATGCGGTCTTTTTGTACAGATGTAGGAGGTATCCTAAAATTACACAGCCTGTAGGACCTATTATAGTGTCTATATAATGTTATTGAGCTATGTGAAAAATAACATTGTGCTTTTTAGCACCGAAAACGGTAGGATAATCTTATCTTTGTGTCGATAATGGTGAAAACTGCAAACATGTAGAATTAAACACAGGAATCTTGTATTTTATACACGTGATTTAGGGATATTTTGGATGCAATCTAACAGATACTATTTACTGCACTATCATAGACATTTTTTTATAAGTAAACACAGGCATAATTGGCCTTAGGGAGATTCGATTAAAGAATTATTGAGAAAATTAAAAGTGTTTTAGGGTTTGCAGTTAGCTATGGACCTAGGTACAGTGGGATTGTGGTCCTGGACTTGTAAAGTTACGATTCCAATTTTTGATAAACACAAAACAATCAATTCAACTGGGAATGGTTGAAACAAAGTGATTTAAATGATTTTTGACGTGGTGTAGGCCTACTTAGCGTGTTTTTAGATAAATTTATAACTTTCAACAAATATCGAACCACTTACCTATCAACGCCGATTGCGAGATTGGTATAGATACTAACTGCCACCATTAGGTAAATGTTAAAGTTGACGAATGTGCACATGAATCCTCCAAATATCCATTTGTCCAGCATAACGGGGGAGAATGTGAAAGGCATACAGACAAGGGCCATTCCCAGATCAGAAACGGCAAGGTTCACCAAGAAAGTTTTAAGTTCTCCCCTGGATCGGTTCCCGCATGTCAATACAACGATGGTGATGACATTTCCTACCACGGCCAATAGAACTGATGTGGTGTAGATAGTAATAAGGGCCACCTGAGATCCATAATCCAAAGGATTCCCTGGAATAGCTTTTAAAAACTCTTCCATGTTGAATGAGCTGCTGGTCCCATTGTAAAGCGCACTCGACCTGTTTCCAAACATTGCGTCGTCTTGAAGTTTCCATTCTGCTTCCATGATCTGTATGGTCGACGTCTCTCGCGCGACTAGATGACAGCTACTTGACAGTGGATCGAAGAAACGAAGCTTTTAATCGAACGGGTGTCCTTTCACTGTCTGTGGTTGGCTGTAAAAATAATCCACAGCAACGTCATTGCCTTTTGATCATGCATTTCCCGGTCCAGCATTTTATCACTTTGCTGGAAAGCCCGTCTCGTATTACCTGTGTATACTGGTGTTCTTCTTGTATGACAAATGATAATATTGTTAAGTTTTAGGGTATCTATTTAATCTCGATTATAATACAATTGAACATCTATTGATACCTGTTTTTATGATTACAAGCCCATATGAGTCGAACGGAATCAACTCAAAATATCGGCATTTTTATTGACCAGCGCAATAATAAAATCAAGTGACCAATGACGTATGTACGGTAGATCTATCGGCCTCCACTTGCTATTTGAACTATATGTTATTTTAACTGCTCTATGGCAACGGGAATTATGAAAAACCCTAAAATACCTTGGTGGTTTTCGAAGCTTGATTCAGAAGGGCAATTTTTTCATATGATAGCTTGATTATAAGACAAATGAAGCCATACGGAGTTTGCTTCGATCGTGTTAGCGTCTAATAAATGCTGAAACAGTTAATCGAGCAGGTTAGCTGTCATGGAGGTAGAGATGTTGAGCACTCGGCTGTTTATCAACAGTATACAATATAGTTGCCATTTACAATTATTATTATTATTATTATTATTATTATTAATAATAATAATAATAATAATAATTATGATTATAATAATATCTATTTGCATCCAAAAGTTGGAAGGTACATTTACATTACTAAAATGGTTATTCTATTAATGGCATTTTGGATATTAAAACATTTTTTAAAATACATTTTCATGAACTGCTGTAGAATTTAAATATTTGGATGCATTTCTTGAAAATGTATTTTAGAAATTGTCCACTTCGTGATGGTACATTATTGTAGTATTTTACATGTTATCTTGTCCTCTACACACACGCACACACACACACACACACACACACACAAGTATTGCACCGTCATTGCATATAGCTGTGTGAATAGTGCGCTATGTGACATAGGGGAGCCGTTCTTAAAAAGTGATTCTCAGATTATTGCTCGCGTACGGTGATGAATTTTGATCCATGTGCACTATAAAGGGTGCCATCGAAGGTTTAACGCTTTTCTGGCTGTCAAGTTGCTACCATGATAATGGTATGGGAGCCCACAAATGACAAAAGAAAAGAAATTGTTTCTCTTCGGAAGGAGGGTATAGATGTCCCCCAGAGAGCCGTCAGATATGGTTTGTCTGGTCAAACTGTATGCGGGGTTTGCAGAAGAATGGAGGACACTGGTGACTCCCGAAGATGACTAATGCCTAGGAAGACTGTTGTCTTTTTATGCTGTGAGGGCTAAGGGGATTTGAACCGTGCAACGAATTAGCTCTGCAGTGGTCGCGCAATTTGCAGGTTGAGATTAGCAAAAAAAAAAAAAAACTGTTCAAAGAAGGCTTCTCAGGTGGAAACCACTCATCACCTTGGTAAACAGTCGTAGACGATTGACATGGATAGACCGTAAGTCAGAACTGCCACCATTTTGTGTTTTCTGATGTGTCCATCTTCATCGTAAACAATGAGGGTGGACAGGTGAGAGTATGGAGAACATCATCCAGATTTTTTTCTCTTTGTTGCTGGGACAAGTGCCCGTGCATATTAGTTCCCTGAATTGCTAAAATAATATAACCTGTGACTTGACATCAGGATGTGCTGATCAGACACTCATACCTACACTTTTAAGTTTTCGAAGTCTTAAAAGACGTGGTTCCAAATAGTTAACATGTAACTGTATCCTCTGGTCAATGTACGATTGTTTTACACCCACCTGAAAGTTCGTGATAGTAATTCAGTTGATCTAGCTTTCCTATTCGACTTGACACGCAACCTTCTCCATCTGGGGAGATAATAAACCATGACAGTAGATAGAAATATCGGTTTACCTCATAAATACATAAGATAGACAAATTAAATCGAAGCTATCACCAGGATTAGGCAAAAGCCAAGCAGATCTTGCGTACGGTTGACAGTGACAGGCACGTACGTGTTCGCATCTACAGCATACAGGTACGTTTTATCATAAGGCATAAAAACACCAGAAAGGCAATCCCTCTGCGTTTATCTCACGTATAACCTACAGTGTACCCCGAAAAAATTACTGGCATTGCTTTTGCTCTGAAAACCCTACAGGTGATGAAAGGCCCTTCATCTTTTTCCTATTCCCACTTCTTTATCCGCGTCAAAAGACCACATGGTTACACGCTTGTACAGCCATATACGAAAACACACACACACACACACACACACACACACACACACCATGCAATGAGATTGATTTTTTCTAAGTAATTGACTGTAATGTTCACAATGAGATGTCAAAAAAAACGCACTCATTTTAGATTTAACAAAGGCACAGCCATAGTCTGCGATGTGACATATAGCATAGCGATACTCCATATTATCCTAACAGTGGGCTGCAAAAACTCACGTTGGCCTTGATACAGACATCTGTGTTGGTCGATTTACTATTAAGTTGAATAGTACATGTTCCACAACTTAGAACCCGAAATCAACGTTGCAAAGTGAAGCAGGTTTTCATTAGCGGCCGCGCTGACGAGATTGTCCAATTTCTATTACCATTCTTCGAGCTGTGCATTGTCATTCAGTTTTTCATTACTTCTAAAAACCTGGTGAAACATCTCATTTGTCATTTGATTGATGAATTTTCTCCATGGCATTTTAAGATATTATCCTTCATTTCACGAGAGCCGTTTTATGATTTCTTTGTTTACAAAGGCAAATTACAAATAGAAAGTCGTAGAAGACCATGGGCAATCTCTTTAAGGGGACAGCAAATTTGTCATACTAAAACCAATGGTTCAAATTTACACCCTTTATTTCAGATATCATAGCGAATATGACAGCAACCTAATGGCTTTCGTTTGGGTGGAACGCCAGGTCATTTCTGCGCTGTAAAGTCTCATACTTGTATTGTATTACACTTAACTTCAGAGTTAACGAGAACCATTGCATCATATCTCGAAAGCAATTGTACAGTTAATTCCATACATTTTGAATACCCAGATTGCTTGTAAATCTATAACACATCTGGAATTGGGCTCCGCGTTTATTAGAGGATTATGCCTCTTTGATTAAAAACGCCCAGAATTTCATTGCAAACCACTGGTTAGTGCAAATGACTGTGTTGCAGTTGGCTTTTTACAGTTAGTGGTGTATGTAGACGAGTAAAAGGAACAAGAGACGGGTATATTGGAAATGGTGATAGGCCTACCAAGGCCTACAGAAAAAAAATCCGAAGTTCAAAGATCATCTTTATGGTTTTTAAACTTATTTCTGGGCTTGAGTCTTCAAAGATATCCGCGATTGATGTTTCGCTTAAGGGGTTTTGTTGAAAAGAAATTCCCAAAATTTTCGTGAATTTTTAAAAGTATGATCATCTTACTTTATAATCGCCACCAACATATGCGTTTGGCCGTGTATGTACATATACCATGGTTATCTACGATATAAACCAACGTGTGAGACTCAATCTATGCGTAAACAAAAAGATACAATATCAGTTTATTGCTTAATAGGTGCAAGGAGTTATAACAGACATCTTGTATTCGGAACTTATTATTCAATATTTCCAAAGAAATTCTGAAGGGCACGTTACAACATGACTTAAAGAGCTTATACAAGATATGAGAAAAGTTATAGTTATAATTGATTTTTCTCGATATCTTGTACAGTGGTTACTTTAAAGTATACTCATATGCTACAGTATTGAGTATCCATACATATTAGGTGCAGTACAACTATTCCTCTGTATTATTAAAAGGATAACAACTGTTCATTTTTGACAAAAAAAAAAAAAAAAAGGAAAAGAATTTTTCTGATGTACACAACAATTTCCACTCATTAACCAATGGTTAATGAATCCATTTCTACATTCAAAGTTAGTCCCCTCTTAAGAGATTATTACAAAGTTTAGTCATCTATGGAGGTCACATGGTCCGATGGCAAGCACAGATTTCAGAATAATTGCTTTAACTGCCGTTTTTGTGGTGAAATAGAATATGTTGTATTTCTATGAGTTGTTTATAATGTTTTATTGTGAAATATAGATCTCATACGAAGAGTTGTAATCCCTTTATCATTCAGTGAGATACTGTTACAGTAATTAAAAAAGAAAAAAATTGCCATTGCTGTTACATTTCTACCACACCACCACCTGCACGCAAAGAGAACATTATTATGGTAATAATAACGTTGATTGATAGTTTTAGAAAGGATGTCCATGTTTTTCCCACATTTCCTTCACATGAGCCAAGTAATGAATCACTGTAAATAGACTTTCTTATATAATATAT